ATGCCCCAAAGTAGAAATAAGAAATAGAGTAAGAAGGAATGCACCTACCATAGAGGCAGGGGGTGGGATGGGGTGGGGGTGGCAGGAAGGATACTGGGGGCATTGGTAGTGGAAAATGTGCACTGGTGGAGGGATGAGTGTTTGATCATTGTATGAATGAAATTCAATCATGAAAGCTTTGTCACTATATCTCATGGTAATTCAATGAAAACATTTTTTAAAAGAAGAAATTATGGTTGTTGGGGAACTTTTCACTTCTCTTCACCTGCCTCCGGGTAAAGGTGGGCTGAGGGTAGGGTCTAAGCTCCTGGGGTGAGGAGACAAGCCCCTCCTTTCCTCAGCAGAAAGAGCGTTTGCCTTGCACGCAGCCGACCCAGGCTTGATCCTGGCATTCCATATGGTCCCCCTAGCACTGCCATGGCTAAGACTCCACATTCAGGAGTGGAAGGAAGGAAGGAAGGAAGGCCAGTGTCACACAGCATGTGGGAGAAGAGAGGAAGGAGTGATTCCTGAGTGCAGAGTCAGGAGTAACCCCTGAACATCGACAGATGTGACCCAAAATGTCAAAAAAAGAAAGAAAAAAGAAAAAGAAAAGAAAAGTAAAAAAAGACAGAGAGATACTGGCTTTGTCAGGGGGCGCTACTTTTCCCAGAGTCTGCAAAGCCAAGAGTCCCCCCTCCTCCCTGCCCTGTGGGTGACCCCCAATAAAACTGACCCTGACTCTGTGGGCAGCACCTAGCCTAACTCCCCGGGCATCATCTTTGGAGCACCCTAAGGGAGTCAGTTAGAAATGGGAGCTGCTGAAGCACTCTCCTGCCTGCTCTCAGGACCAACGGTCCTGGTGGCCACTCCCCACCTTCCCTGCCATTTCTTTCACTTGGGGAAGTTGAGTCACTGGCCCCGTGGGTGAGCAGTGAGTGCAGGAGTTGGGCTCTGTCCCAAGTGCTCTGCTTGCCCAGACTCCCGGGGGCTGGAGCAGGCCAGCAGAAGGGGGCTCAGTCTGCACCCAGGGCAGCAGGCAGGAGGGTCCCCACAGTGTCCTGAGGCTGAGGGAGCCTAGCATCACTAAGAAGCAAGCACGGGAGAAAGAGCAGGTGGGTAAAAATGTGCACTGAAGGTCAACCCGGTGATGCGTCCCCCGACGGTCGGTCAGCAGCAGTGACTGTCTCCATGCACTGTCCCCATGTGGGAGGGAATGAGCTCTGGGACACCGGGCAAGGATCCTGTGTGAGGCAAATGTGAGCTGTGAGCCGGGACACGAGACCCAGCCCAAGGCTCTTCCTTTGCTCGTGCCTCCCCCTAGCGGGCAGCGGGGAACGTTTGCAGGTGGGGGCCAGCAGGAGCCCAGAGGTGGAGGGTTGAGTTCAGAATCCCTCCAGCCCGCTTTCCCCGCAGGGGGCTGCCTTGTGCCCGGAATCTCAGTAACAGAGGGCCCAAAGCCCCTCATTGAGGAGGCAGCAGAACCACAGAGAATCCCCAGAGGAGCAGAGACATGCCGGGTATTGTGGGGGGAACAACGTGGGCCAGAGAAGCTCGGCCACAAGTCTGGTGTGAGGAAGCGTGAGTCTGGGGGCTGGGGTGGGGGACTAGGGCGCAGGTCTTGGGGCTTAACAGAAGGCAGGGAAGGCTTCCTGTGGGCTGCCAGGAAGACGCCAAGGAACCTGTGAGGAGGGTCTTGGGCCTGGAGGACTCAGCATGGATGCTGAGGTAGAGGTATGGCTCACAGGGTGCCCCTTGCCTTCCTGGGCCTTCCCAGGGAAGTGAGAACGCAGGTGCAGGCTTGCAACAAATGCACTTTGACGGAAAAGTGACAATGGAAGGTTATTGATTTTCTAGGACCGCCTCACCAGCTGGGCGGCTGAAATAGCAGCCATGGACCCTTCAGAGTTCTAGAATGTGGACATCCAAGATCACAGCCTGCAGGATGGGTTTCTTCTAGCTCCTAGGCTAACAATGGCATCACCCACCTGTGCCCACCCACCTCCTCTGCATGTGGGGGGGCCTGCCCCCTCCTCTCCTAGGGACAGAGGTGGCCACCCTGGATTCGCCCTCCTCCCCATGGCCACTTTGCCTGAATCACCTCTTGAAAAGTCTCCTTTCCCAATATTGTCCCACCAGAGGCCCTGGACATCCACACTTGGATATTTGAGTTTTCAGGAGATGGTTCAGCCTGGAGCACCAGGTGACTGAGTGACGACTGAGCTGAAAGTGGTGAGGCAGGAAGACTGAAGTGCTTAGGAGGACAACTGGGAGCACAGCTCTGGGACAGAAGTGCACTGAGAGCTCAACAGGCTCCCAGAAGGGCATTATGGGAACCACGGATGTACCTAACAGACACCCTGAGGGACAGACACGGCTGAGGCTCCACCTTCAGGAGCAGAAGGAAGGCCAGTGTCACACAGCATGTGGGAGAACAGAGGAAGGCGAGGATCTCCTGAGGTGTGAGGGCCACTGTAAAGTGGGGGGTGGTAGAAGATCTGCAGGGGGAGCAAGGCCTACTGTGAGGCCACAGCCCTGTCCACAGGAGCCCCAGGGGGTGGGGGACAAGGGAGGGCAGAGCAAGGAGGTTCATTAGTGGCTTTTCCCATAGTCCAGGCAAGACACGATTCTGAGAGTGACAGGACAGCAGGGGGAGAGACTTGAGGAGTGGCAGGTCTGAGACCAGTTTGAGGAGAAAGCCAGCTCAGATGTATGACAGAAGGAAAAAAAGACAGAAGTCAAGGGAAATCTCAACCGTGTTGGCCCAAGCAGCTGTGAGAGGGGTAGGTGGGAGCGGTATGAGACTTGAGTTTATTGTGGTTATATTGCACAATTGGTAAATATTACGTGCACTTCGCTTATGTATGAGCCATGTATATACTTAGTTCTTAAACATGCATGGAGAGATGTTCAGTAGACAATTGGAAATGACTTTCAATGGAAAGTTCCAGATTGAGGAGACTATGTCCTGTTTTAAACTATGGACTTCTAGAAACCCATCTAGGGGGTGCGTGTAGGACCCAGTACTAAGCACTGAGACACTTCAAAACATGAAAGGTAGATTCAGCAAAAAACAGAACTGGAGGAAAACCAAGAGAATATCTGTCACAGAAGCCAAAAGAAAAACTCTTCTCAGATTGCTGATGAGAAGCTGAGTAAGAAGCCTAAGAAGCGGCCCTTCAATTCAGCACCTGGAGGTCACTGATGATTTTAACACAAATTCTTTCTAATCACAATTGATTCAAGAAGTAACTAGATGGGAAGAACAAGAGATGGGAAGTAGAAATAACTTTTGAGAAATTTTATGTAAAGGGGAGAAGAAATATCATAATAGTTCAAAATTATAGGAAAAATGTTCAAGATGATACCTGACAGTAGATTTGCATGCTTATCTGTATAAAAGCTAGGAAATTACCAATACAGGAAGACAGAGTAGGAATGACTATAAATAGCAGGAATCACTGTGAAATTAGCAGGCGGGGGGCTGAAGCAATAGTACAGCAGGTAAGGCTTCAGTTTCATGAATGGAATGGCAAATCACATGATTTCATCTTTCCTTACAGCCAAGTAGTATTCCACTGTGTTTATATATCAATTTCTTTATCCACTCAGTTATTCTTGGACACTTGTGTTGTTTCCAGATTTAGGTTGTGTATGTGTGTGTGTGTGTGTGTGTGTGTGTGTGTGTGCTACAATGCACATAGAAATGCAAATGCCTTTTCTGTCCTTAAATTTAAGTTGAAATGCTTTTTCTGATTTTTTGATTACATGTTTCACTCCCACTCAACGTTTACATCCAGATCAGAACAGAACCTCCCTGGACGGGGCTAGGGATTTCTTCACTGTGCCCAAAGCAACCCTGACAGCACAGCATGAGCACATGGCAGTTGACAGACTGACCTACCTGCCTTCCCTCTGGCCCGAGTACTGGGAGGACAAAACCTTTCCACCTATAAAATGACCACTGCTGGGGCCAGTGAGATATTACAGTGGGTAGGGTACTTGCCTTGCACATGCCCAACCTGGGTTCCATCCCCCATACCCCATATGGCCATCTGAACCCCACCAGTGTGAACTAAGCACAGAGTCAGGAATAAGCCCTGAGCACTGCCAAGTGTGGCCCCAAACCCAAAAGTAAATGAATAAAACAAATGACTACTACCTAGCAGGTCTGCTCACTATGGTTTTAGATTTTTGTAATTTTTTTTTTTTTTTTTTGCTTTTTGGGTCACACCAGCAATGCACAGGGATTACTCCTGAGCTCTGCGGCCAGGAATTACCCCTGGCGGTGCTCAGGAGATCATATGGGATGCTGGGAATTGAACCCGGGTCGGCCGCGTGCAAGGCAAACGCCCTACCCACTGTGCTATTGCTCCAGCCCCAGATTTTTGTAATTTAAAGAATTATGATTTACCAAGTTATTGATAGTTGAGTCTTGCAACAGTGCTTCCTTATTCCACCCCTACCCTTTCCTACCCCACCCCTCATCCGTCAGCTTGACAGGCACATTACAAAGTGTCAGTGGTTACCGCTTAGGTCTCATGTTCTCAGTTCTGTTGGATCTGTGTTTTGGGTAGACAGTTATACCGCTCACTCATATCACTGGGATAACTGAAGTCCTGATGCTTGTTCACCCATTCATTACCTCTTGGCTCACTTCTTGCCCCCTTGATTCCACCCTGCCTTCTCTCCAAACACTGGGGTCAAGGGTGATCTATGCATGCCCCCTTACTACTATGCATTCCCTCACCCAGTATTCTATATATCACAGATAAGTGAGATCACCATGTATATTGCAAAACAAGGAGAGGAAAAGCAAACAACAGGATTGAAGTCCTAAGAGGGAACGTTACCAACAGGTAACATTGTGAGTCATGTGCAGGGCGGTCACAAGCACACACTTCTGGCCCCGCACAGAGCAGCCTTCTGCTCCACCCACGGCTGTTGAGAGAACAGCCCCTACCTTCCGCGCACAGACATGGCCCCTTGTGCCCGGCAGTCCCAAAAAGTAGCAGGCGAGGCACTGTGTAAAGGCATTTTATTTAAAAAATAAAATAAAAGCACCCCCTCCCGTTTGCCCAAATCAGCTGTCTCCATTTTCCTTTTCCATCACGTAGGCCTGAGAACAGAGCAGATGATATTTGTCCGGGTTCAGGGTGTAAGCTGACATGGCGCCCAAGAACTTGTCCAGCGGACACAGGCCATGAGAGCACCCTCTGGGCACCTGCTCCTGAGAAAGAAACTCATGTCAGGGACCCACAGAGCACTGGAGCTCTGCTCCCAGCTATGTCAGGACCCTAAGACACGGCACCCCAGGTGGCACCCAGGTGCAGGGAGGGCTGGTGGGGAAGACACAGCCACATGGCAGCTGGACCTGGGGAGTGGCAGTACAATCCCCTCTTCCCCCCCACCCTGGACACCTTCAGGGAGTCACAAACTGGCCTCCCCTTAGGGCACCACACTTAGCACTGTGACAGTGACACGTGGGGACAGGATCCTAGTTCACAGGATCTGAACTGGATGGGACACCGGCTCTGTCTCAGCCCTGGGCGATCGCCCAGACTCACCTGCTGACTGGGCCCCCACAGAACTGCCTGGGGCCAGAGAGCTTTGCCCAGCTCAGCGGGGGTGCCCAACCGAACACACTGTGTCTGTCCCCCAAGATCCTACCTCCCCACAGTAATGCAGCTGCACAAACCACTCCTTGGACTCCCGGTGCTGGTAGAGCTCCAGTGTCAGGTCAGCTGCGAATGGGGGCCACTTGTTGTCATAGATGTCCAGGGCCATGAGGAGTGGGATGAGCGTCACATCATGAGTGGCATAGAGGTACAGCTTCCTGGAAGGCAGAGCCTACCTCATTAGGGAGCAGCATGTTCCCAGAGACTGGGTGATGCCTCAGAACCAGCTGAGCCGGCCCAGAAAGCTTGATTGTAGCAAATGGTGGGGAGAACCCTCAATCTCATACCCCAAACTTTCACGACCAGAGAGGCCCACCAGGGCAGCTGCCCTGGCCTTCTTCTTCCTGCCCAGTAGGTACCCACTCTCTTGTTCCTGCCCTGCTAAGTTTCTTTTTTGTTTTGGGGCCACCCCAATGGTGCTCAGGGTTGACTTGTGGCTCTGTACTCAGGGATCACTCTTGGTGGGGCTCAGGGGACCCAATGCAGTGCTCCCCCAGCCTGGGACCCGGTGATGCATAGGGAGCAGCAGGGAGGACTCAGGCCTGGGTGCTGTGTACTGATGGCAAGTGTTCTTCCTACTCTCCGCTATAGTGGTTTGTTTCTGATTAGGAAAGCTTGCAGGTACGTGAAATCCATAAGCCTCTTTGGCTCAACACATTCCACAAGTGGCTTTGATCTGTAACAAAGGTGCATTTTACATGCCTGATCCCAAGCTCCTTCTCTTGGGAGAGATTGGGTCTATTTTTCCTGACCCTAAGCCAAAAAACGAGTATCGGATGTTGTATGTACAGATACAAGTGCCGGGGTGCTGGAAATGAGATGTGGAAAGGTACGGCAGGAAATGGATTGTCATTTCAGGTGCCATGAAGGGTAATGTGCAGTGGGTAATGTGCAGACTTTGTATGGTTTGTGTAAGGTTTGCTCGGACCAAAGGGCTGATAATGTAGCAACACACCTAGAATCAAAGATCACCCTGCCTCCAGCATGGACTTATGGCCCATCTGGCACCAGGAGGCCACCAGGCTGCATTCCGTGCTTCCTCACACTGACTCCCTACAGATAACAGAAGGCCATACCAAACACACCAGTCCCACAGGTCTCTGCTCCCCTTACCAGCCCAAGACAACTTAAAAGCCTGAGTGTAGGAGGATTACTCCATAACTTAGAGGCCAGCCGGGTATCCTAGAGGAAAGGGCAGTTCAGATAGAGAAGGGAGCACCAAATAAAGGGTGTTTGGAGGATCCTCCCAGGAGGGGAGATGCATGTCAAAAGTAGACTATGGACTGAACATGTTTGCCACTCAATGCCTCTTTTGCAGACCACAACACCCAAAAGGAGAGAGAGAACACAGGGGATTGCCCTGCCACAGAGGCAGGGGGGGATGGGGGGATGGGGGTGGGGGGATATTATCCATGGTGGTGGAAAATGGGCACTGGTGGAGGGATGGGTATTTGATCATTGTATAATCGAAACCCAAGCACAAAAAATTGTAAATCTACAACTGTACCTCATGGTGTTTCACTAATAAATTTTAAAAAAAAGCCTGAGTGTAAGCCCACAAGGCACCCACTCTCTTGTTCCTGCCCTGCTAAGTTTCTTTTTTGTTTTGTGCCCAGGGTCCGGCTCTACCCCAGTCTCATCTGAGGTTCACAGAGTTCCACCTGGGAGTTCACCCCAATAAGCTTCTCCTACTTCATCACTTTTCCTCATCTCTGCCCCTCTGCCTGCGCTAACTGAGGTCTCTGGTCTATCAGTTTGCTACAATGAGCCTTGGCCTAACGTTCAGGAACTTGGAACTATACATCATCTTTCTCAAGAAGGTGGCCACAATCATGCTTCTCCAGAATTAGGGGGTGTACATATCCCCTGGGGTTCTTGAAGAAATGTTGATTCTGAGATTGTAGGTCAGGTTACAGCCCAGAAATCCAACAAGCTCTTGGTCCACAGACCAGATCTTGTGTCAGCTAGGAGACATGACATTCCAAGTCTGGGATCCCCCAACACAGGAGGAATAAGAGATGATGGAGGCTCCCAGGCCAATTCCAACATTGGTGGGGGGGGGGGGAGGGAAGATGCATGGGGAGGGCAAACCTGGCAATTCTCAGGCTTACTCCTGACTCGACACTCAGGAATTCCTCCTGGCAGTGCTCGGGGGATCATATGGGATACCAAGGATCAAACCCAGTTCTACCGTATACAAGGCAAGCTCCCTTCCTGCGGTACTATCACTCTGGTTTCCATTCCAACATTTTATTCTTTACGTTTTAATTTTTCATTTCAGGACCACTCCCAGTGGTGGTTGGGGGTTATACCCAACAGTACCTAGGGGGCCATACAGTGCCAGGGAGCCAACCACAGGCTCCCATGTGCAAAGCCTGTGCTCCAGCCCTTGAAACCATCACTTGGGCTGCACTTCCAACCTGTAAAATTCCCAACAGACACTGCAGTCTGCTGGGAGCTCCATGGAGGTGTCCAAACTAAACAGCTGAGCAGCTACGATTGGGACTATTCCTGACCAAATAAGTGTGACAGAATGAGTCTGTCTGGAGTTGTTGGGGGGAGGCTGGGTGGGGAGAGCTGGTGCAATAGTACAGTGGGCAGATGCTTGTCCTGCACACTGCCCACAAAGAGTCAATCCTGGCACCCCGTATGGTCCCCCAAGTACTGCCAGGAGTGATCTCTGGGTACAGAGCCAGGAGTTACAGCCAAGTGTGACCCAAAACCCAAAAGTACAAAAGAAGAAAAAAGGAATGAGTCTATCTGACATATTGAACTAGCTGGTGGAGGAAGAAAAAATTAACTTAGGAGTCTTTTGCTGATAAAATAAATATTTGACAATGGGTTGGGTAGAAGTGACCGGAAGAAAGATAAAACGTTGGGAGTATCTCTGAAACTCGTGGCCTCAGTCCTTCCCTGTGGCCAGCCGCTGTCCCAGGTACCTGGTGTCGCCGGGTGGGGTGGCAGGGTTGGTGCCCTTCAGCAGGTGGCTCTGGAGGAGGTGCAGGAACGGCCCCACAGCCATCTGAAGGCCTTTCCTGGGCAAGGAGAGAACAAGGAGGTCCTGGATAGCACTTGACACCCATAGGCCTTCTCTAGCCCAATTGGGCAGGGCTGAGAAAGGACATATGGTGTGCGGAGGTGCCAGAGTAGGAAACACGGGCGCAGCCTGGAATCTGTGGGTGCCCCAAAGATGCAGAGACTCGCGGGCAGAGGCACAAGCCAGGTACCTGGCACAAATATGTCAGCACCTGGAGGGCTGAGGTGCAGGCAGCAGCAGCCACGGGGAGCAAGAGGGCAGCGGTGAAGGACAGGGAGTCTGAGTTACAGCCTCCCTCCGAGGGCTGACCCAAAGCCACGTCATCCTACACGAGGCGTCTGCGGCCAGGGCTCTTCTCAGGAATTGGGCCAGGGAGGGTGGCTCAGTACCAGCTGACGGGGCTGTCACTGGGTGTCACCACTACCCCTTACCAACTTGTGCGATGAAGATCACACAGCGGCTGGAGCGGCCTGCCTGGCCTCTCTGATAGCAAACAAGAACGATGAGGGCCAGCACAGGGCAAGAGGACATGGTTTGGTACCTTTCACTTTCAGAGGAACTCCCTCTCTCCTTGGATTCCCCATCCCAGATAGCATCTCTCGTCAGTCCTCAGCCAAGGGCACTAGGGTAAAGAGCCACCTTCAGAGGCGACCTTGGAAGCAGTGGGAGAGGAGTCCAGACCAACACAGCCCACAACACACTTCCCAGAAGCAGGCATGCAGGCAAGGCAAGTGGACAGCAGTATAAGCTGCAAACATTTGTCCTTGAAAGGGCAGTTTCACGGAACCAGGGATGATGGAAAAGGAAAGGAGAATAGAGCAGGTCTGGTGTTGAAGGCCTAACAGCAGGATAAAGCCAACTATGGCCAAGGGCCAAATCCAACTGCCTGCCGTTTTTTGTAAATAAAGTTTTATTGGAACACAGCCAAGCCCCTTTGTTCACAAGTCCTCTGTGGCCACATCCATGCTACAAGGAATGAGAAGCCACAACAAAGGCTGCATCGGCTACAAACCCTCAAGCACTCACTCTGTGTGTGTGTGTGTGTGGTGGTAGTGTAGTGACAGCACAGTGCATATCTGCAGGTGGAGAGGCCTTTAGGGACAGATGAGGCAGAGTGGCAGGTCACAGGGAGTGGCAGCCCACTGGGCATTGTGGCTGGAGCCTTTGGGCTGTCTGAGGGGCCAGCACCTGCAGGCACAGGTCTCTGCCGGTGGGGCGGCAGGGGAAAGCCACCAGAGGCTGAAACAGTAGTGTGAAAACTCTTTCTCTGTGTATCTTCCCCCTCCATGATGTGACTTTATCCAGATGCAATCTGAATGCTCTAAAGGTGTTTTTTAAGTGTTGGTGAGAGGGAAAACGCTCCATTCTAGCTGTCAGGAAAGAGGCTTCAAAGCGCAGAGCCCTGCTGGGGAGGGCCAGGGAATGCCAAGAAAGCAAGACAGACCCGTACAGGCTGCCCCAAGACCGTGCATGCCAGCCCATAACTCCCCATCCCGGTGCTGTCCCCCAGGAAGCCAGGGTGTGGGCCTGTGAGGAATAACAACACCTGCCCACAGTGACAACCTGGGAACCATGTCATGTGATAAGCAACATGCGGGACGGGGCTGTCCCCAAACAAAGCCTCTGGACCCATAGGCATGAGCCCGCAATGCAGAGGGCAGAGCGCCAGGCGTCACCTGTCCAAGCTTCAGAAAAGGGTGTGGCAGAACTCCACACAGCAGCTCAAGCCTCTCACCTGTCCTCGCTGTGCAGGATGTACAAGGCGGTATCCACAGCTCTCTGCTCGATCAACCGTGCAAACCTTCTGAGCACAGAGCTGCTTGAGAGGTTGTGTGCCTGAAAGGACCACAGGGAAGGGTGAGAGGAATGCTCCTCAGACCCTGTGCTGGGCAGTGGTGGAAGGGCTCAATGTGTCAACTCTGAGCAAATGCCTCAGCGGCTCCAAACCCAGGGCCCCACAACACCTTTCTGGAGCTCTTCCTGGGGCTCTTGAGAGCCAGTGACACTGACCATCCCCCCTGCACCCCCCCCCACACACACACCTTATCTATACTCTGCTTAACCAAATGTTTGATGTCTGTACGTTTTTGTTTGGCGGCCAGGTGCTCAGGCCTTACTCCTGGTTCTGTGCTCAGGAGTCACTCCAGTTAGGCTCAGGGGTCCATCTGAACCCCAGTCAGTCACATGCAAGGCAAATGCCCTACCTACTGTACTATCTCTCCAGGCCCCTGTTTGTGCATGTTGAAAGCTACAAATAAAAAAAAAATGCAATGTGAGGAAATCATACACTTCTGCTTGTTCTTCATCTTCCCCAGAAGCATTTCTCAAAATCATGCCAGTTGAAGACTTTATAAACTCCCTTCTGAGAGCTGTGCCCTAGATGTTCATCTGCACAGATGGGGTAGGGGACCCACATCCAGCGGTGCTGGGGGACAGTCTGGCTCACATTCAGGAGCTGAACCCAGCCCAGAGCCATCTTCCACATCAGCCCCTAAGCACCGGGCACTTGCCTGAAGGGCGCTCTGGGCTTTCAAAGAAGGGACAAGCATGTGGTCTTTAGGTATCCAAATTGGGAATCCAAAAAGTATTTCCCAGTGCATGATCATGAATATTTGCTAGAGAGAAAAAATAAGGTTCTAGATTAAGGTTAGGGAAAAACCAAAAGGAGGAATCTACTCTCTTCCTTGTAGTGTGCTCAGATGCTTTATCTGCTGATGTGGACAGGGACTGAAAACATGACACAGACAGATCCCAAAGTGTCCAGATGCCCATCCCTCTCTCCCCGCCTCCACCCCTCCATAGAACCCAAGGGTAGGGGGACAGGCTGGAGACACTCTTCAGACACGCTGGTTGCCTGTGAAATGCCACTCTCCTGGCTGGGGGCTTCCTTCTCGATGCCTCCTTCTCCTCGCACTCCTTTGGGAAGTGTGACCACAGCTGCCTCCAACTTTCTCTCCATATGGCCCTCCGGGGCCCAGCCCAGCCTCCAGCATCCCTGCCCCAGGCCCAGGAGGCACCACCCACCTGCTCGGCAGCTACATTATCCAGGAGGCTGAGAAAGTCCACAGTGTCGCTCTGGGTGATGCCCAAACCATTCTTCACCTTCTCCAAGTCCTCCAGGAACCCTGGCAGCAGAGAGGCGCTCCTCTTCCGGCTTCTGCAGAGAGGAACAAGGCACTCGCATCTGCCTCTTGGGTTCTCCAGTACAAAAGCCCCATCCCAGTCATTCCTCAACTGTAGTCTGGGCTCAGCAGGGATTCGTCCTACTTTCCAGACAAGGACATGAACACCCTACAAGGCCAGGTGACTTGTAAACCCAGTCAGTAAGGACCTAGAATAAAACTATTCCCCCACCCCCCGCCCCCAATTCCACTCTAGCATTTTCTTCTATGACCCCTGAAAATGGCGACAGGATGGCCAAGCTCTACCGAAAGCAGAGTGGTCCCTTCTGTGGAAAGGTCTCAGCCAGCCAGAAATGCCCGACATGGGAAGTGCCACCAGCCTGTAGCACCCTACCTGCAGGGCAGCTGGTGTACAGGGTTGTCTGCTGCCACAGCCAAACCTGGGACTTGAGGACTGGCCTCATCCCCCTTTAAGGCACCTGCCGAGTCATCACCTGCCTCGGACTAGCAGACAATACCTTAGAATTGGCACAGAGGCACCCGTAGCTGCCTCAGCCTCCCTGGCCCTCCCCAGGTCTCCTGGCCCTTTGCTGTGGACAAAAACTGCTCCACTCCCTGGGGCCTGGCACAGAGCAGGAGTCTCTCGGCCCTGAGGCTGCCGCACAGCAAGCACAGTGTGCCTGGGGCATTGGGTGCAATGTGAGGAAGGGTGTTTTATTCATGGTGGGGTCACCTGGTTCTTTCCCGCAGGCTCTGGCAGTTTTCGTAATTGGGGTATAGGACCTCAGAGCTGGCGTCATCGGTGTGGATGATAGCAGGCCCTGGAAGGAAGCAGCAAGCACAGGCCAGAGAAGGCCTCAGTGGTCCGTCCCCGCTGCCCTCCCCCACCTCCTGTCTGCGTACTGGGGGCTGCTGAGATGCACATGACCGACGCCAGACTGGAGGACAATGCACCACACACCTGGCTTGGGGGAGACGAAACACTTCCCCAGACTCAATCCCCGCGTTCTGCCTCGGGACCCTCCCAGCGTGGGTTATTCTGGCTGAGCAGGGGTGTCCGGGTTGGCTGGAACCAGGCGATGTTCTGGCTTCCCAAACAGGACAGCGACTCACACTAGGTGAGACAGGGGGTCACACAGGCATGAGTCTGTTCAGACCCCGCCACCTCCCCCAAAGGCAAGTCTGCTCTGGAGACTGGGGGAGATGCTGACAACCAACATTTCTTACAGCTGCATAGTTGCTCCCTCTGGTCGAGCATTTAGAAGCACCAAGTGCCCAGCACTCTAGCACCCCCCACAGGCATCCAGGTCAGAGGACAGGGCCAGGGCGAGCACCCCCCTCCACAGCCCACCCCTGCCCTTCTCTGCTGTCACAAGAAACAGCCCTCCCTGCCATGGCCCTCTGCAATCCACCAAGTCGGTCAGTGTTTTGATTTGTGACTCAGAGTCCCATGGAGCCCTGGCCCCACACAAACGGCCATCGATACCCTGGACATCACTGGGTTGGACAGGAGGAGGGAAGCAGAGTCAGACACTCAGTTTTGATTCCACAGCTCAGCCATACAATAGCTTGTGGTAGCCACAGTCTTTGGAGGGTCACTTTGAGGGGGTAGGAGTGACAGTGATTTCCAACTGTTTCCAAAACAGCAACACCTCCCTCCCGCTCTGAGGGATGGTGGCTTTGCAGCGGTGGCTCCAGAGCACTGGCCACTTGCATGCCCCATTGCCCACTGCCCTTCTTTTCCATACCCCCGCTCAAAAAAAAATCATGGGGTTCTGCAGGACCCACTGCAAAAAAAGAAGAGATAGAGTGACCAGCAAGCTCTCCACCCTTCATGCCCTCTGCACAGATGTGGCAGGGCAGGAAGGGGAAGCAGACGCTGAAACTGAATGCGAGCGTTTGAGCGTCAGCTCCAATGTTTGCCAGGTCTGTGTCCCTAGAGAGCCACCTTAGTGCCTTAGTCCTCTCAGCTGTAATATGGGATGACGGTACATTTTACAGGAATCGTGGAGGCTCGCATGTGCAGACCTCAGAGAATAATGATCAGTGTGTACAGGTCGTCCTGTGAATGTCAGAACAATAATGGTGATTTTAACCTTGAATATGGCACAAGGTCCATATTCCAGTCTGTGCCTGACACTGCTATCTGGAGAGTGGACCTTGAAAACAGCGCCCTGAGCTGGCACTCAGCTACCTACTGAATGACTGACTGGCTTGGCTGGTACAGACCAAATCCCCCTTCACCACTGCCTGATGCCCTGCAAGCCCAGCACTTTGTTGCACCTCTTCCATAACAATAGTTCCTTCTGGGGTCCTGAAGTTTATTTGAGTCCCCCAGGTGCTGGGCAAAAGGAGGCAGCAGTTCTGAGTAAGCGCCATTTGAGTTTCAGGACACCTGGCTGCTGCTTCCATGTCACTTCTCAAAGCATTATGCTCTGGACAGGCTGTCGGCTGTTGCTTCCTCCCTGCTGGAAACCAGGGGTGGCCTCAGCCCTGACCTCCCAGCAAGAATCAGCTTTCCTACTTCCACCACGGCCCTGGGAGTCCTAAGGCAAGAACAACTGCTCGTGGGCATCAGGCATGGCACTCTCGGAAGTCAGGCACTGAGATGATTTCCCAGTCCGGGGATTCCCCCCGGAACCAGGGGCAGCTCGTCCGCTCAGCTGTTTGCTCTCTGTGACTCAGGCACACGCCCTTGCTGGCCAGCAGCTTCAGTCACGGCTGGCATCAGTACTCATCACAGCTGGGGATGAGGCAAGTCTCCTTTGGCCTGGAGGTGCCACTCCTTCATGTATTTTTCAAAAGCCTGACAAAAAGTTTGAAAAAAATTTTTAAAACACCCATTTGAAATACTGCTTAAAAAGCCGAACAAAATAATCAGGGTCTTTGTCTCCTTGGCCCCACGGTTACAGTGGGGAGGTCAGGATGACCTGAAACTCAAATATGACAAGCACAATTCAAAGCAAAGGCAAATGCCGAAGGCAAAGTATTGCGCTAACTGAGATCCGTGAAGGAAATCAGCAAGTGCAGTCTCTGGGAACGAAGAGGCAGGGGAGCAGGACGTGGGATTATCCCCACTGAGAGGTGGCCAGCAGCCTCTGGGGCCGCTGGGGGACATCAACAGCAGGGGTTCAGATAGGCCACTCCAGGCTCCTTCCTTTCAAAGTGTCTCATCCAGGCTAAAAACCCTGGGGTTGCTGACAAGCGCCCACGAGGGCCGCCCAGAGACTGAGCAACACGGGAGCCAGGGGCCAGCCTAGCAGCTGGGAGGACAAAGGAGATGGCAGAGGCGGGCAGAAGGGGGTTGGGAGAGGTCAGACGGGAAGGGAGGGAGGAGGCCCTGAGAGCAGCTGCCTGGTAGAAGTGACACACACAGGAAACAGACCCAGAAAGAGAGAAGGAAAAGCATCGTGGTGGTGACACAGGGGTTGGGTGTGAGACTCTAAAGTCACTTTATCTGGTAGTGGTACAGGGGTGGGGGGGCAGGAGGGGGAAGCATTTGTCTCCCAAGCAATGCTCTGGGGCTATTCCCAGAAGTGCTGGGGGTGAGCAGGGCTGGTCTGGGGGGCGTCCAGGGGATCAACCCTGGGACCCCCATAGGCCTGGGCTGCCCTCCAGATCTCTGCCTCTCCCTAGTCCACAAACCTTTCTGGTGCTGAAAAAGCCCCGCCAGCAAACATCGGGTAGACTCCAGGTTCCGGTATATGTTAGTGGAACGAATACTAGAAGGGAAAGAGAAAGAAGGTCTTCAGGGGGGCTTGAAAACCAGTTGAAAAATCATACAACTAGAGGGCATGACACAAGACTAGGGGCCAACTGTGGGGGGTAGCATCGGAAGGAATGAGACCAGAAGGAGCCCTGGTTGGAAAACAAGGAAGAAAGGCCATCCTGGTGGGGGTGGGGGGCAGGGAGCCGGCACTGCTGTGGTCAAGGGTGGTGACTCCAAGGAACACCCATGCACAGAACCCCTCCTGCGGGCAACTGCCCCAAGCTTTTGAGGATGAGTCACAAGCAGGTGCCTCCAGGTGACTGTCAGAGCAGAGAACTGCCAAGTTTTAATGACTACCAGGACTAAAGTTTTAATGACTCACAAGACCTCCGGTGGGTTGAAGACCGGCGAGAGGAAGGGGGTCTCCTCCACGTACTTCTTCTGAAGTCTCTTCCCCAGGGCGAACATCTGCTGCATGCCCACTTGGGTCAGCTGGCCAGCACACATGCCCCCCTGTGGTGAGTGACGAGGAGAGTGGAGCCAACTCTCAGACAGAAAACCACCAGAACTGGGGTAGGGGTTGGGGGAAGGCGTGTTCCAGGCCAGGGGAGCACCACTCACCTTCAGGATGGTCTTATTGTACTCGCAGTCATAAGGCGAGGGTGGTTTGGGCCCACCGGCCAGGTTGGTGACTGTGTAATCGAACTGAGTCTGGGGAGGCACCTCTAGTAGCTGGGGATTCCAATCCACCTGTTGTGACTAAACACACACATAAACACATTTTTTTAAAAAAAGATTCTTAAAGAAGGGGTATAGTGCCGGCCAGTGTATCAGTGAGTACAGTGCCAGTGAGTGCATCAGCAACAACCTGATGGTGCCTTCAGGCTTCCTGATACCCCAAAATTGCTGATGTGCCTCTGGCTGGACCCCAACAACTCAGGACCAAGTTTCCAGAGAAATTAAATGATCAAAAGTTAGGTATGTGAGAGCCACACCCATAAACCACCTCTGGCTTAGCTATTCACACTCTTTTATTGGCCTTGCATCAGAGACCCATAAATAAATCTAGAAAGAGATCAAAAGCCACAGTTAATCTCGGATCCACGCAAGGCTGAACAGACTGAAGTAAATCAGAGGGGGCAGGAGCGGATCAGCCTGGTGCCTGTCCAAGCAGAATCCTGGGCAGCCACTTGCTTCCACAATCCAAAATTGCTGCCTTGCCTACATCTGGACTCCACCGTCTTGGGACAGATATCACTGAGACATAATCTGCTGAAAATTCAGGTATGCAGCTTTGGTGACTGAAATCTCCAGGCTTCCTCAGGGTTGGAAGGGGAAGCCTCCAGCCCTGTACTTCCTACAGCCTCAACAGTCTTGTCCACACCCCAAAGCTGCCACCCAGTTAAAAAAGCTACTCCAGTCTTCCCTTTCTGATAAAAATACTGAATGCCCTGAACAAACACCAGGACCTCTTGTACCTATATTGCAAACCATAATGGATAAAAGCAGAGAGAGAGAAAGAAGAAAAGTGCCTGCCATAGAGGCAGGCTGGGGCGGAGGGGCGGGGGAGGGAGGCAAGGCGTGGTTGTTGGGGGATGATGGGAGGGAAATGGGGAACCATTGATGGTGGGAAATGTACACTGGTGGAGGGATGGGTATTGGATCACTGTATGACTGAAACCCAATCACGAGCAGCTTTGTAATGTCTATCACAAAGATATTCAGTAAAAAATAAATAAAACTTTCCACCCACCCACCCAGACACACACACACACACACACACACACACACACACACACACACACACACACACACAGAGCAGATTCTTAAAGGCCAGAGGGATAGGATAATACAGTGAGTGGGGAGTTTGTCTTACATGGCAGTCAACCTGGGTTCAATCCCTAGCTTTCCAAACTGTTCCCCTAGGTCCCCCAGAGTGAACCCTGAATGGAGAGCCAGAAGTAAGCCCTGAGCACTGCAAGGTATGCCCTTTACCCCACCTTCCCCATGAAAACAAAACAAAACAAATCCAGCAGCATTTGCATTGTGATGCCAGGACCATAAGCCCTATTACTAGAATACTATCTTCATACTTGTAGGATTACATTGGTTTGTCCTTCCTGCATAACTCAGGCAGTTTAGGTTTATTGAGTTGCTCCCATCACAGTGCTCCCATTCCTCTGTGTTTATTCGTAACTTCTTTCTTTGTGCTCTGTTGACTTGTAAATATTGTTTTTCTCTTCTCCTTAAGTCCTTTGCATAGTTTGTTTGGAGCAATGTTTTGTATGAACACAAGAATACAGTATATGCTATGCTTTTGTTACATGACTCTCAGTGATATTTTCCTCCTGGGCATCTGTTCTCTCGACCTATGCCTCAGTTGCCCTTACTTTCTAACGCACCCCAAAGCTGGTCCCAACAAGAGACTGGATGGAACCAGGGCAAGCGGTAAGCTCTGTACTACCCTGGCATCGAGATGGGCCTGGCCAAAGTGCCTAATGCTTAACTATAAGTTAAGAGCTTGGTCATGGACAAATGCTGTCATGATTCAAAAAGTAATAACTAGATTAGGACCCTGCTAGGTTTAGGAAAGATTAATCTGGCCTGAGCGCTGTAGTCTGAGTCTGTGGCAAGATGTTCCCAGGAGAGCTGCCCTACAAGCCTCAATGTACCTCTTACTTTATACAAAAATAACTAGTATTAAGATGTTGATAGAGTTACTGGACTGAGGAAAGGAGAAAAACATCTTAAGAGGTATTTTGCCCTTGGGCAGTCAGGAACAGCTTTGGAATACCTCTTAGGTGGTGTTTCCTTTGAACACGGTGGGCCATCAGGAAGGGCTTTCTTATGTTGATTTTGCCACCTGATTGGGTGCAGTGTGTGCCCCCAGTGCTAGGGAGTTGGAGAGATTAGAGAGCCGAGAGAGGAGAGGCAGGGCTGCGAGATGGACTGTCCAGAGACTAGCAAGGGAGACAGACAGAGAAGGATGTAGAAGCTAGAGTACAGGAGCAGGCACAGGGAGAGAGCCCAGGCTGTGAGATGGAGCACGGAGAAATGAGCGGGAGAGACATGAGAATGAGGGGCAATGCGAGACTAGAATAGGGGGATCAGAGAGACTAGAGCAGGCGCATGTGGAGAATGGAATAAACGTCATCTAATCAATCAACCGGTTTGGCGCTCGTTTCTTCCTCCACCATTTGCCCCATGGCTGGGACCGCCCTGGCTGGGCGAACAGCCTGGGCCCCCAGAACCGGGTGGCCAGGGGGAGAGCCGCCCTCGAAGAATAAACACATACTGGCTGTTACTACTGTGCAAGTACTGGTTATTACAGCTATACTAGTACAGGCTGTTTATACTATGCGATTACTGGTTATTATTATGCTAGTACTGGCTGTCATTACTCTGCCAGTACTGGCTGTTAAGTGGCTGCTCTGCCACCATTCCTTGATTGTTGACACCAAGAAAGGAAAGTAGCCAAAATGCCAGACACACAGACACTTGGTGAATGAATGAATGGATAAGCACACAATAACTCAGTGCCTGCACTGCTGTAAGAATTTTTGAGTAATACACCTCTGGTTTCTAATGCCCCCCATTTAAGAGTTTTCTCAATGGCTCCTAAGACACAGGTCTCTTCTCCATTCATCCAATTTCAAGAAACCTGCACTTAACAGGTGGGAATGATAAGACAGCAGGTACATGACTAACCTGGATTCAGTTCCTGGCATCCTGTATGGTCCCCCAAGCACCTCCAGGAATGATTCCTGAATGCAGAGCCAGGAGTAAAACATGAGCACCACCAGGTGTGGTCCCCAAACAAAACAAAAACCTACACTGTACCCTTTTATTTTACTTTTTTTTGTTTGATTGCTTCAATCATTTTATTTCCCATGTAATTTATAGTCACAAAAGTGTTTATTTTTTCCCTACATTTACTTAATAACTCAGAAAAAACCATTTAGATTTAAATAGCATTGTAAATGTATTTTTGGTTTTGCCAGATAATTTGTTATGATCCACTTTGAGTTAATTTTTGTAAAGGATATCAGAAATATACCAACAGACATTTTTGTATATCCACAATAAATCACCTCTTTCATTTTACTTTTAAAGACTATATCCACTTAGTGTAATATCAAATATAATAATAACAAATAGCTATGAAACACCAGGCACCACTTTTTCAAAGATGAAACTTTACTGAAGTAACCTGGCTTTACAACATCATACACAGCTGCAGTCACTCTTACTCCAGTGGGAGCTGAGAGTTCCAGTCACTTGGCTTCCCCTTGGCCCCAGATTGCACAGGTCTTGAAAGCCAGCAGCCCAGCTCACAACTGGAATGGGAAGCTTAGATGCAGAAAAGACTATTTCCATATTACGGCAGCCTTATGGATGGAACCTAAAGCCTCAGGGAAAGCAGGAGGAATGAATGCAGGAAAGCTGGCTTGGACTTGGAAGCTTTTGTTTGGAGTTGATGTTGGCACAGAGAAAAAGAAGAAAGGAACAAATCACTTGGACTCCAGTCTGAGTAAAAAGGATAATGGAGATGCCCCAAGACAGTGACCAAGACGGAGGGGTATCTGGAAGCTGAGTGCAGTCTGGAACATTTGAGGTTTGACGCTTCCTTTGCTACCCTAATGCCTCACCACCACCTTTCCATAGCTGAAATCCATGTAGTCTTTCTCTTGACCTACTACACTGTGCCCCGGTCTACAGCCATGAGTGAATTATCCATCTAGCTCTGTACGCGGTCTAGCATATACACCCCAAATGAGATCTCTGGTGTTTGCAGGGAGATGATTTCCACAAATCCAGGTCATGTCACACACAGCGATGTCTTGTTAGTCTTTCAGAGAAAACAACACCCAGGTCAGTCACACACACAGTGTTCATGTTCATGCCCTCCACCCACACACGTGCATGCGTGCACGCGCGCGCGCGCGCGCACACACACACGCATACACACACACACACACCTTCGTTCTCACTCTTCAGCTTCTGAGTCAGGGGCTTAACTTTATCATTTTATTACTTTCTAATATTCTCTCTTCAAGAACTAACTCAGGCTGGTGACAGTGAGACCCGAAACACAAAGGGAGTAAGGCGGCCAATTCCAAGTAAGTAAAAAAAAAAAAAAAAAAGACAAAAGCAAATGAGTACAGGGACAAACAAATGGATGCTGCGATGCGACTCACCAATGCAAGCACCATACCTATGGTAGGTGGGCCACAGAACTGGCACTGAGCCGGCAAGCTTCCAGGCAAAAGGAGGAACTTGATCAGCGAGAGCAGCCTGGAGAGGAAAGCACGCCAAGTGCTCAGGAGAAGCACACCATTTCTAATGCGAAGAGACAAATTCCTCCCCAGGGCCCCCATAAAGAGGACAGAGAATAGAAGAAACTGCTTCACAGGAGCCACAGCAGTGATTTCTGTGGGGTTATTTCCCATCATTTCCTCAACACAGAATCAGGGCATAATGCCAGAGCACACTTCTCTGAAGGTAGGACTGAACTGGGAAACAGACTCAACATTCCAAGTAAAACAAATAGAAATCTCCATGAAAAAAAGTAGAGACCTTCCAGGCCTATAGCTGAGAGGAGAGCCATGGTTTTTGTCTTTGGTTCTTATGCTTTGGTTGTTGGGCTATACTGGGCAATATTCAGGGATTACTCCTGGCTCTGTGCTCAGGGTCACTCCAGGAGGACGTAGGGAACCCTGTGGGGTGCCAGGGATCAAAATCCAGTCAGCCATGTACAAAGAAAGAACCCTACCCACTATACTACCTCTCCAGTCCAAAAGCCAGGGTCGAAACTGTGTTTACACAGTGGCACCCATGGGAATTTGTTTTTTTAAGTTACCAAAACCTGAGATACATCCTGAGTGAATGACATCCAAATCTCTTGTGGGTTAAAAGGTCGATTTTATGTTTGCTTTTGCTCCACAACTGGTATTGTTCAGGACTTACTCCTGGCTCTGTGCTCAGGGATCATATGGGGCACTGGGGATCCAAGTTGGGTTGGCTGTGTGCAAGACAAGTGTCTTGGCCTGCTGTACTATCTCTTCAGTACCAAAGCCTCAACTTCTGAAATATTATCCAATCCAGATCATTCTGAAGCTTCACCTGGACAGCTTTTATCATGACTGCATGCTCTGGGACTAGCATTGCTGGGAGGGCCCAGGAGTCAGCATTTTCTTAAGCTTCCCAGCTGAGTAGAGTTCTGGCGTGAATACCAGTCCAAATGAATGAGTGCGTGGAACGGTTCACCGTCAAGGACTGCTCTGCAAGCAGTGGATATTAAGCAGCAGAGACTTACATGCTGAGGGACTTCTCTGCTCAAACACATAAATACCCAGATGGCTTAATCCACCATGGGGCTGGGGCAGTAACTAGACTCTATTTTTATAAAAATAAAAGGAGGTTGCTGGAGCAGATTGGGCACACAACCCACTCAGGTTCAATCCCCTTCCCAGAGTCCTCCAGGAGTGAATCCTGAGCACAGAGCCAGGAGTAAGCTGTGAGCAACGCTGGGTGTGCCCCCACCCTCCCGCAAAATAAATAAATAAAAAAAAATTTAAAAAATCAGGAAAATCTGAAGGCAGGGCTCACTTTAATATTTTGAATCTGTAAAATATCCACCTGAATTCAGTTTTATTTCTAGAGCATTGCTACAATACTTTTCGGAAGACAGTGTAAGTCAAGTTACTCAAGAATAAGGAAAAAGAAAACAAAACTCGATCCGGATAGAAAGGCCAGAGGTTAAGACGCTTGCCTTGCACGCGGGACACCCGGTTCAATCCCCAGCACCGCATTAGGGTCCCCTGAGCCCTGCTGGAAGTGACTCCTCAGCACAGCCGGTGTAGCCCCACACCCCCACCCCCTCATTCCCCCAGATCGCTGCCTCAGGAGTCCCGGTAGCCCCTGGATCAGAACCTGCACGTCACCAAGTTCCCACGCGAGTCACAAGCCCTCTGAGAACATCGATCTCCTGATGCCACATCACCCCGCGCTGCACCTGCGGGGCTGGAACCGACGGTGGGGCGCTCCCAAGCCAAGATCAGGGGGTCTCCAATGCGGGCCCTGCGCCTGCCGCGCTCTCCCCCAGCAAGCCGGGTACGGGGAAGCTAGGGGCCCGCCCGGCCGCCGCTCACCTGCTCCGTGTGCGGGAGCAGCTTGAGCGGGCTCCGCGCCCCGTGTCGGTAAATGACCTGCACCATCTTCAGCTCCAGCGGGCACCGCTCCGCGGGTTGCGACTCGGCCCGGGCCACGCGCCGCTGCTGGAGGCTGAGCGCCAACGAGCCCAGGATGCCCAACGGGGCCCACGCGCGCCAGCGCGACGCCCCGGTCATCGCTGAGGCCCCGAGCGCCTGGACACGGTGGCGCACCGCGCATGCAGCCCTGCTCTGAGGCCGGGACGGGATCCCCGGGCTGGCGACGCCGCGTCCCGTTCAGCAGCGCCAGGCACAGCTCAGGGTCCCGTGTTTCTGCCCGCGGGAAACTTGGACTCCAAGCCCGGCATCCAGCGCGCGGGAAGGGACCGCAGCCAGCCCCGGACGTCTCACTGGCGAAGACTCGGGTCACGCCGGTGACTGATCAAGGTCCCCACCTCTCCACCCGCCCTGGGACTTGTCCCGAGAGAGTTCGCGCAAGGGAGCGCGGGAAAGCGAGTCCCGTGGCGACGCCCGTCCGTAGCTCCTGGGCCGAGAGAACTACAACTCCCACAAGGCGCCGCGCGGTGTGCACCTCCCGGGGGGATTTGCCCAGTCCTCGCCTTTGACCCCCGCTGGTTAGTTCTTGAGGTTCCAAGGGGCAGGGCGGGGTGGCTGAGAGGATGAAGGGTGACATTGGCGAGACTCGCACCCTGTTAGGCTGGAAATTGCGAATCAGGGGTAGAATTAATTGGCAGAGAGGACTATTTTGAGTCTGGAGTAAATAGAAGACTGTAATCGTGCAATCAGAGAAACTGGGGGTTACCAAAACGACTTCGCACGGGGCAGTAGCTGTGTGTATTCTCCTTCGTGCATCTCCACCCTCCTGCGTTCCAAGAGGCTCGTGGCAAACAGGCAGAACTTTAAGAACGTTTTTGCTCACTTGCAGCATCTTTCTCATGAAAAGACGCAAAGCTGGGGTCCCGGTGACTCCGCCCCTTTGTTTACAAAAGGTGCCTGCCTTGTGCAGTCATCTGCTAGGTTGGTTCCTCTGGACTCTGCCGTGCCCCCCATGCCAACCCCACACTCCAAGCTTATAGCCTTGGTCTTTGCAACGGGACGCGCACACCTGGTGCTAGCAGCTTTAGTGGCCAGGTCAAGGCGAGAGTTGAGATGTTCTCCAACCGGTTCTTGGCTCACTCTCCGTTAGACCTTTTCATCTAGCTGGACCAAGGACTCCGGACCTAAAGGCAACTTGTTCTTCAGGCTCTTCAGGTCCTGCCATGGGGCATAGATGATTTGGGATTTGACAAGGTCACAATTGTCCTGCCCTACTTCTCAGATTCACTTTTCAAAGTCTTAATGTTGCCCTGTGATTTAAACGAAAGCTGTTTCTCCTCACCCCTACACCGCCTAGTCTCAGGAGAGCAGAGCAGCAAGAATGCCAGACACCCCTGGAGGGGAACTTTGTGTGATGAAATGTTGCTCCAGTGTCTGGGTCCTGCTGCTCCAGACAGTAGTGCAGGGTGGGGGTGGGGCCAGGATTTGGGCAGCTGCAGCAACTGGCATTGTCTGGGAATGTTCAAAAAACCTATAATGCTGCCTATAATTGATGCCAATATCTGCTGCAATACAGACTGCCTGGATAAGACTTCAAGAAGTGGACAAGTGACCTGTAAATATTTGGGGTGTGATATAAAATGGTGTCAGAAGTGTTAATAAGCTGTATTTCCCTTCAGTTTGTCTGAAGGCACTGCAATTTACAATACTGTAAACTAGAGTCTCAGGCATACAGTGTTCCTCCACCATTAGTGTCAGCATCCCTTCACCATTATTTCTAGACACAGCCCCTCGCCTCCCTCCACCATCACAACGAGTGGTAAGCTGAGTTCTCTAGACCAGGTTTCATGCTTCTTGCCTTTGACCGTTTGTTGTTCCTTGACTGTGCAGTGTGTTGCTAATATTCCACACATGGAAGGTTATTCTGTGTCTGTCCCTTTCCTGAATGATTTGAATCACATGTTCCCCTCAGTTCCATCCTTGTAGCAGCACATTCCATCTTTTCTTAGAGCTGAGTCATATTCCACTGTATATTTACTCTGTTCTTGGGCACTTGGGTTGTTGCCAGATTTTGGCTGTTGTGAATAGTGCGGTAGTGAACGTAGGATCACAAATACTTTTCAAAATGATGGTTTTGCCCTTAGGGTAGATGCCAAAAAGTGGAATTGCTGGGTCAAATGAGAGCTCAATTCTTAATTTTTTGACAACTGTCCATACAGTTTTTCATAGAGACACAACCAAACAGCATTCCCAACAGCAGTGGATAAAGATTCTTCCCCATGTTTGTGCCCACATTGGTTGTTTTTATTCTTTTTGGTATGTAGCAGTCTCACTGGTGTGAGGTGATATCTCCTTGTCCTTTGTATTTGCATTTTCCTGCTGATCAGTGATGCAGAGCATTTTTTTTCCATATACTTATTGTCCGTCTATCTATGTGTCTTTTTAAAGGAAGTGTCTGTTAAGTTCTTCCCATTTTGGGGTGGGGTTGTTCTGTTTTAGTTTTTGTTTATTTTAGGTTAAGCTTTGTAAATGCCTTATATGGCTTATATAGTAGCACTTTGTCAGACGAGTGAGCAAATATTTTCTCCAGCCAGTCTGTGAAGTGTCTTTTTTGTTCTAATCATAGTTTCTCTTGCAGTGCAGAAACATTTTGGTTCAATGTAGTCCCACTTATTTATTTTTAAAGAGAGGCTAGAAATGTTGGAATCTTATTCTGAGGATTGCCCCAGAACTGGAAAGGTAGGAATCTGCATAACTATCCCTGAGATTCTGATTCCTCCTCAGCAGGGCTGGCCTGGGAAGTAGGTCCTCCTCCCTCCAAATTGTCTCCAGAGGTTTGCATTTAATCTGATGCAGAACTAATTATCATCACAGATCACAGATCACAGATCATCCTGTTATTCGTCGATTGCCTCGAGCAGGCCCCAGTAACGTCTCCTTCATCCTAGCCTTGAGATTATATTCAAGGCTCTTTAGGAGAATGAGACCCATCATTGTTACTGGTATTTGGCATATTGGGTACGACACAGGGAGTTTGCCAGACTCTGCCGTGTGGGCAGGTTACATTCGGGAGCCTGCCAGTTTGTCAAAGTAGGAATGAGATGTCATAATAAAATGATGCGCGGCCGGCCGTGAATGCGGCCGCGCGGTTCCGGGATGTGGTTTTTATAGTCTCTGAGTCTTGGCCGCTGATGGGATTACACGGTGCCAGGGGGCCAGTTGGTGGGTGTGACCCCCGCCTATTGGAATTTGGAGGATCTGGGTGGAGGATGCTCGGCCCAAATCCGAGTAGGCTTGGAGATCTCGGCCCCGGAACCCACGTGGCTTTGTCCCTCTGCCGGTACCTTCAGGTGTGCGGAGAGTGGTCTCGGCATGGTGGTGTCTGGTCCTGGAGGTCGTCGGCTGCCGGAGACCTGGTTGGGGCGGGGAGGAAAGCTCAACCCGCTCCCTCCAAGGGGACACGGCGAGGAACAGCCAGGCGCGGGGGCAGGAGATTGCACTATTCTCCCTCCGGGATCTGGTTTTTATAGTCTATAAAATTATCATGGGATTAGATAAAACATAACCACATAACCACATTCACCATCCTATCTCCAGTAGTGAGCACTTTGCCTGACTCAGTATTTTATAAATACCAGCTGGATGAAACTGTAGGCCATAGGCTGCTGTTGAACGTTGTCCTCTTGTTGCTTTCTGTATAAATATGCTCCTATGAAAATGTTTTAGAACAAAGTGTTAGCTGGAGTCTTAATGTCTGGAGAAGAGAGTTCACAGGGCAGAGCACATGCTTTGCATACAGGAGGCGGGAGTTTGAACCCTGACACCACCAGTTCCCTTGAGGTCTGCCAGGAGTAACCCTGAGCACAGAGTTAGAAGGTCCTGAATACCACTCGGTGTGGACCACTGACCCCCTTCCCCCCACATCGCCATTGCCACCAAAGTATGAAGATGACTTTTCCTTCATTTTTGTCTTGGTTGATAGGGCACTTGAAGCCTCATTTCTTTTATGATTATTTTTCATTGAATCACTGTGAGATACAGTTACAAAACTTTCATAATTGAGTTTCAGTCATAAAATGAGCAAACACCCATCCGTCCACCAGTGCGCATTTTCCACCACCAATGTTCCCAGTATCCCTCCCGCCACCCCCACCCCACCCAACCCTCTGCCTCATGGCAGGTACCTTCCTTCTTACACTCTCTCTATTTTGGGGCATCGTGGTTTGCAGTACAGATACTGAGATGAGGTCTCATTTCTAACTTAAATATGGTAAGTTAACTATGCTATATAGAACCAGTTTCCTCTAGCTTGTCACTGTGGATTAGGAGGGCGCAGAGATAGAGAAAGGCCAGGTAGGAGGCTGATGCAGCCTTCAGGTGTAACCTCTTGGAGAAGCAGAGTTGATGGAAGGGATGAGAGGGAGAAAGGAGTTCAGGATGACCTCCGATTTCCTGGTGTGAATGACTTGCAGGGGAGGCCAACACAGTGGGAGAAGGCTGAGCAGAGTAAGTTACTGGGTTCATTTTGAATGGGTACATTAGGAGATACTGGTGAGGCCCCCCCAAGGAGAGATGCCCTGGACCCACAGTCAATGATGTGGTTCCAAAGGTCAGAGTGAGTTTGGGCTAGGAGCAGAACTCCTCTGCACCCAGTTGTAAGCTGAAATAAAAGGAGTGAAGAAGATTCTCAGGATGAGTAGGTAGAATGACAAGAGCTAAATAAGGGGAGATAGAGCAGGGTTCTGAGGACGTCCACTGCTAAAAGGAAGGACAGAGAAGGAGTTAGAAAAAGAATGGCAGAGGGAGGAAAGGAAGAGATTCAAGTACCATGGAAGCTAGGAAAAAAAAGGTTCGAAGAGAATGGAGAGCCATAGAAAGTGGAACCAAGAGATGAGTTTCTTAGAGACCTAGTGGCCATTGGATTTAAGAACAAAGTCATCTTGGCTCACTGCAGAGAGAGTGTGCTTTGCACAAAACCATGGGATGGAATGGAAGTGGGAGGTAAGTAGGAAGAGATTAAACTTCAAGAACTTTAGCTGAGAAGATGAGGTGAAGTAGTGCAGAACCAGGAGGTGTTCGATCATGATGGGAAGAATTGCTTTTGAAGAGGGAGAAGCTTGTGTATACGTTTAAATATAATAATAATAAAAAAAAAGAGGCTGTCGATAGCACCAGAGCAAGAGTAGAGTGGGTTGGGCATTAGCCTTGCATGTGGCTGACCTGGGGTTCTATCTCCAGCATTTCATATGGTCCCCTGAGTCCCACCAGGAATGATGCCTGAGCACAGAGCCAGGAGTAACCTCTGAGCATTGCTGACTGTGACCCCAAAGCAAACAAAAAAGAAGTCTGTTGAAAGTGAGGGGTTGGAAAGATGTGTCAGGAGGGCTCCAGGATGTGGCTGCTACATTCTTT